TCCAGATGAAATGACTGATACCCTAGATTTTAGCGGAATCAAGCAGTTTGTTAGAGGAGCTCTGGTATGTGACTGGAGTTCTTTTTTTTCAGAACATCAAATTTTATTGACTATATGTCGTTTCTGTTCATTTCAGTATGAGGGAAAGTTTAAAGTTCATTTGAATGGCGTCTCCTTCAAAAGTGATTCAACAGGAAAGGTCGATCAGATTTCACCCAATGATATTTTGAGTGTAAAGTGGCTAAAAGTTGCGTATGACTACGAACTGCAATTTCTGACGAAAAGCAAAAGCGTCGTGAAATATGATGGTTTTCGGGATGAACACTATGATTCGATTAAGAAGTTTTTAACTCAAAATTTGGACATCAGTTTAAAGAAACAAGATATGTCGGTTAAAGGCTGGAACCATGGCGCTGTTGAATTTGAGCACGATGTTATGAGCTTTCGCAATAAAAGTGACGATAAACCAGCTTTCGAAGTTCCATTAAGAAATGTTACGAAATGTGATACTCCTGGCAAAAACGAGGTGAGAGTTACACTAATTTAGCATATTTAAAGATACCTGCTTTTTGCTTGGATGAAAATGGATGATAACTCGTTATACTAAGAAATTCGTTATACAAGGTCACTAACATGAAAATTATGGTTTTTACCTCCTAAAAAGTTGCTTTAGCATGCCAAAACTCCTATATTTTTTGCGTACGAGCCCTTGTTTTTTGATACGATAAATGGATGATATTTTTTGCGTACGAGCCCTTGTTTTTTGCTACGATAAATGACTAAGAAATTCGTTATACAAGGTCACTAACATGAAAATGGATGATAACCATGAAAATGGATGATATTTTTTGCGTACGAGCACTTGTTTTTTGCTACGATAAATGAATAAGAAATTCGTTATACAAGGTCACTAACATGAAAATTATGGTTTTTACCTCCTGAAAAGTTTCTTTAGCATGCCAAAACTCCTATATTTTTTGCGTACGAGCCCTTGTTTTTTGCTACGATAAATGACTAAGAAATTCGTTATAGCTAAGAAATTCGTACAAGCCCTTGTTTTTTGCTACGATAAATGACTAAGAAATTCGTTATACAAGGTCACTAACATGAAAATTATGGTTTTAACCTCCTGAAAAGTTGCTTTAGCATGCCAAAACTCCTATATTTTTTGCGTACGAGCCCTTGTTTTTTGCTACGATAAATGACTAAGAAATTCGTTATACAAGGTCACTAACATGAAAATGGATGATATTTTTTGCGTACGAGCCCTTGTTTTTTGCTACGATAAATGACTAAGAAATTCGTTATACAAGGTCACTAACATGAAAATGGATGATAACTCGTTATACTAAGAAATTCGTTATACAATGTCACTAACATGAAAATTATGGTTTTTACCTCCTGAAAAGTTGCTTTAGCATGCCAAAATTCCTATATTTTTTGCGTACGAGCCCTTGTTTTTTGATACGATAAATAGATGATATTTTTTGCGTACGAGCCCTTGTTTTTTGCTACGATAAATGACTAAGAAATTCGTTATACAAGGTCACTAACATGAAAATGGATGATAACCATGAAAATGGATGATATTTTTTGCGTACGAGCCCTTGTTTTTTGCTACGATAAATGACTAAGAAATTCGTTATACAAGGTCACTAACATGAAAATTATGGTTTTTACCTCCTGAAAAGTTTCTTTAGCATGCCAAAACTCCTATATTTTTTGCGTACGAGCCCTTGTTTTTTGCTACGATAAATGACTAAGAAATTCGTTATAGCTAAAAAATTCGTACAAGCCCTTGTTTTTTGCTACGATAAATGACTAAGAAATTCGTTATACAAGGTCACTAACATGAAAATTATGGTTTTTACCTCCTGAAAAGTTGCTTTAGAATGCCAAAACTCCTATATTTTTTGCGTACGAGCCCTTGTTTTTTGCTACGATAAATGACTAAGAAATTCGTTATACAAGGTCACTAACATGAAAATGGATGATATTTTTTGCGTACGAGCCCTTGTTTTTTGCTACGATAAATGACTAAGAAATTCGTTATACAAGGTCACTAACATGAAAATGGATGATAACTCGTTATACTAAGAAATTCGTTATACAAGGTCACTAACATGAAAATTATGGTTTTTACCTCCTGAAAAGTTGCTTTAGCATGCCAAAACTCCTATATTTTTTGCGTACGAGCCCTTGTTTTTTGATACGATAAATGGATGATAATTTTTGCGTACGAGCCCTTGTTTTTTGCTACGATAAATGACTAAGAAATTCGTTATACAAGGTCACTAACATGAAAATGGATGATAACCATGAAAATGGATGATATTTTTTGCGTACGAGCCCTTGTTTTTTGCTACGATAAATGACTAAGAAATTCGTTATACAAGGTCACTAACATGAGAATTATGGTTTTTACCTCCTGAAAAGTTTCTTTAGCATGCCAAAACTCCTATATTTTTTGCGTACGAGCCCTTGTTTTTTGCTACGATAAATGACTAAGAAATTCGTTATAGCTAAGAAATTCGTACGAGCCCTTGTTTTTTGCTACGATAAATGACTAAGAAATTCGTTATACAAGGTCACTAACATAAAAATTATGGTTTTTACCTCCTGAAAAGTTGCTTTAGCATGCCAAAACTCCTATATTTTTTTGTGCGTACGAGCCCTTGTTTTTTGCTACGATAAATGACTAAGAAATTCGTTATACAAGGTCACTAACATGAAAATGGATGATATTTTTTGCGTACGAGCCCTTGTTTTTTGCTACGATAAATGACTAAGAAATTCGTTATACAAGGTCACTAACATGAAAATGGATGATAACTCGTTATACTAAGAAATTCGTTATACAAGGTCACTAACATGAAAATTATGGTTTTTACCTCCTGAAAAGTTGCTTTAGCATGCCAAAACTCCTATATTTTTTGCGTACGAGCCCTTGTTTTTTGATACGATAAATGGCTGATATTTTTTGCGTACGAGCCCTTGTTTTTTGCTACGATAAATGACTAAGAAATTCGTTATACAAGGTCACTAACATGAAATGGATGATAACCATGAAAATGGATGATATTTTTTGCGTACGAGCCCTTGTTTTTTGCTACAATAAATGACTAAGAAATTCGTTATACAAGGTCACTAACATGAAAATTATGGTTTTTACCTCCTGAAAAGTTGCTTTAGCATGCCAAAACTCCTATATTTTTTGCGTACGAGCCCTTGTTTTTTGCTACGATAAATGACTAAGAAATTCGATAAATGACTAAGAAATTCGTACGAGCCCTTGTTTTTTGCTACGATAAATGACTAAGAAATTCGTTATACAAGGTCACTAACATGAAAATTATGGTTTTTACCTCCTGAAAAGTTGCTTTAGCATGCCAAAACTCCTATATTTTTTGCGTACGAGCCCTTGTTTTTGCTACGATAAATGACTAAGAAATTCGTTATACAAGGTCACTAACATGAAAATGGATGATAACCATGAAAATGGATGATATTTTTTGCGTACGAGCCCTTGTTTTTTGCTACGATAAATGACTAAGAAATTCGTTATACAAGGTCACTAACATGAAAATGGATGATAACCAGTTTTTACAAGCAGTTCTCCCGGCAGCCAAAGGTGGCTTGGGCGTTTCTTCCGCTCGTCTACTCGCTTTACCCGCTTTTTTAGCCTCAGCAGCAGGAGCAAAAGATGCCTTGAGCGAAATCTTTGGTTTGGAGCATGTCGATGGAACCTATGATAATGCGCTTAAACGGTGGTTTGAACTTGGAAAAAATGAAATGGCTCCGGAAAATGAAATCCAAAAAAAATTTACGGAGCCAATTTTTGACAGCGAAATTGCAGACGTGATTTTACGACTCGAAACAACGGACGTAGAAAGATTCAACGCGTTCAAGATAGATTTGGCTCCCAATGTTTGAACGTCATCCCGTGCAAAAACTTAAGGTTAAAACTGTCGAACCAACAACTCAGAATTGCAATAGGACTTCGATTAGGCTCAAAAATATGCGAACGGCATAAATGCGTGTGCGGAAAAGACGTTACCGAGGATGGTTGGCATGGCCTTTCTTGCCTCAAAAGTGCAGGGAGATTCTTTAGGCATTCAAACCTGAATGCCCCTATAAAGCAGAGTTTATCTTCTACTCACATTCCGTCTGTTTTAGAACCAGGACACCTCTTCAGGACCGATCAGAAGCGACCAGACGGTTTGACGCTCGTTCCATGGGCTGTTGGTAAGCAGCTCTTGTGGGATGTAACGGTAGTAGACTCCTTAGCTCCTTGTAGGATTAATGCCGGGTCTGTTTGTAACCCTGGTACGGCTGCCGCTGAAGTGAAAGAGCGAAAAATTGACAAGTATAAAGATCTTGTAAATGATGGATATCTTTTTCAACATCCTCTTAGGAATAAAACATCAATGTTGTGTTAAGCTTTTCAATGAAATAATCACCATCGTCAGACACTGAAATAAAAGCTTGTATAAAATTCTTTTATAATCTTTTTCAACCGCTAGCTTTTGAAATTCAGGGCGCGGCCGGCCCCGGCAGAGAAATTTTTTTGAGCAAGTTTTGTAAGAACTTAAGCACATGCACTGAGGAACCCCGAGCAGGCAGCTTTTTAAAACAGAGAATCTCCCTGGCAATACAGATTGCGAACGCCGCTTGCGTACTCGGAACAATAAATGACAAAATAACTTTCGACGAAATTTTTTATTTGTAACAATTGTATATTATATTTTCTCGTGTCGAGTTGCGTGTTCTTATTGAAGAAACGTAACCCTTATCGATTTTAATTGAAAAGGACTTAAACACTTGTCATCTTCTTTTATCATTATCACTTCCATATCTAGAAAATTCCAAGGATTTTGACTGGAATACGTGATGAAGGGACCTCGGTTGCTATGATACTTTTGACCTTCTGATTAGAAAAAAAAGAAAAAAATTTAAAATTCCGTGTTTCATCCCTAATCGTAGTCGTTTTCAATAAATTGTATGATTTAGAATTTTCCAGATGAAATGACTGATACCCTAGATTTTAGCGGAATCAAGCAGTTTGTTAGAGGAGCTCTGGTATGTGACTGGAGTTCTTTTTTTTCAGAACATCAAATTTTATTGACTATATGTCGTTTCTGTTCATTTCAGTATGAGGGAAAGTTTAAAGTTCATTTGAATGGCGTCTCCTTCAAAAGTGATTCAACAGGAAAGGTCGATCAGATTTCACCCAATGATATTTTGAGTGTAAAGTGGCTAAAAGTTGCGTATGACTACGAACTGCAATTTCTGACGAAAAGCAAAAGCGTCGTGAAATATGATGGTTTTCGGGATGAACACTATGATTCGATTAAGAAGTTTTTAACTCAAAATTTGGACATCAGTTTAAAGAAACAAGATATGTCGGTTAAAGGCTGGAACCATGGCGCTGTTGAATTTGAGCACGATGTTATGAGCTTTCGCAATAAAAGTGACGATAAACCAGCTTTCGAAGTTCCATTAAGAAATGTTACGAAATGTGATACTCCTGGCAAAAACGAGGTGAGAGTTACACTAATTTAGCATATTTAAAGATACCTGCTTTTTGCTTTATTAGAGGAAAAAGATTTTGAAATTATCCCCATAATCTTTTGTATACAGTAGATGGAAGTAAAAAAAAAACAGCCAAGAACCATATTTTCTCTCAACCTTCTTAATCTTATTGTTCTGTCCCGATCATTGAAAATGGGGAAGAACTTTTGTCTTTGGGTGTGGTTTTTCATTCAAGATCGGGTACCTTAAATAATCTTCGGAATGGGTTGAGGGATATAACTTAAAAAAGGATATAACTTAATATAACGATAAAAAAGCCATTTCAGTCGTGATTCAAAGATTGGAGAAATTTTTGTTTGCTGTCGGGTTTTTGAAGACAACTGTGTCATTTATTTGCTTGCGTTATACGCGTTCGTTAAGCTTTCTCATCTTACCTCGCACAAAAAAAACTAAACCAGTTTGAATAATTTTTTAGAAAAGTTTTTTATGGGTGTAGTTGGAATATTCTGTGCTACTTTCACTGCAACTGGCTATCCTTTTTTTGATTTGTAAATAAAAATCAGTCGTTTTGGTTTCTGGGGTGTACTTCGTCTTAATAAATCGTCAGAATTTTTGATCTCTCGAAAAAAGCACTTGTTTTAACTAATTATTTTGGTTGATCAGCTCGTTGTTTTAACCAGGTTGCGATAGAATTTCACCAAAATGACGATGCAGATATTGAGCTGTTCGAAATGCGGTTTTGGGTTCCCAATAGTGCCGACCCCGAGGTGGATTTGGTGACCGATTTTCACGATAAAGTAATGGCATCCGCAGATATTCTGTCGGCTACTGGAACTACAATTATGTCTTTCGAAGAAGTCATGTGTCAACTGCCCAAGTATGAAATAGCCTTAGTAATACATACTTTAAAACATATTCGGATTATTGTCGAAAATTTTGATTTGCGTGTAGTAAACCTTTAGCTGAAGCAATTTTTATACTTTTATTTTAGACAGTTTTTAAAGAAAAATAAATGCTTTAAGCTTTAAAAAGTTTTTTTTTTACTTGTATCTTAAGATATCGCTATAGAATTAATTTATTGTCATTTAATATACTGGTTGCGATCATGCAGCTTTTAAAGCAGGTTGATTTTTTTAATTGGGCAAAGTTTTTTTTCAGAGGTCGTCACGAGATCAAATTCTATCCCACCTGTATCCAGATGCGAGGAAAGACGAATGTCTGGATTGTGCAATATACTTCTATGCTACGTCTCTTTCTCCTACCTCACAACGACGGCAATCAAATGTTTTTTGTGGTTTGTATCCTATTTGGGCTTAAAATCTTTTAAAACTAAGCCGCAACCTAACTTTTCTGAATTCGTTCTGGGTGTTGATTGATTTAACCATTTTTTGAGATGCTAATTCATATCTTTACTATAATTGAAAATGTTTCGATCAAGCTTACAATCATATGGGCATTTTAGATTTCACTGGATCCTCCTTTGAAAGCAGGAATGACACGACATCACTTTGTAATCTGTCAGTTCCACAAGGACGAGGAAATTGAACAAGAACTTAACATTACAGAGTAAGGAAATATGAACTAACATTTTATCTTGCTACATTGATATGTACATTCCTTTAAACGCATATTTTTAAACAGGTCCTATTTACTTACTTCGAACGCATGGATCACTAATCAATGCTTGGTATATGAATTAATTCTATTTGAATTAATAAGAAGAAGTGTCAAAGTTTAAGTATTATGTTCTCTATTATAGCGAATTTTTGTACCCTTCTTTTCCGGTAATATTTTCGCTTGTTTATTCAGAGAAGAGATTAAAGAAAAGTACGATGGTAAGATAGACAAGCAGATGAATGGTCTCACCTATGAGATGTTCAGTCGCGGCATGAAGGCCTTTTCCAACCGAAAGATCACAGTCCCAGGCAGCTTCAAAAGGTAATGCTCGATGAACTTGTCAATTTCAAATCTTTTACAGAAATTATTTCGAATTTTTTCAAAAATTCAAGTGTTCTATTTCATGCTTGCGCTCGAAGTTTCTACGTAAAACGTGTTTGCATGATCAAGAATAATTTCAAAATAAGGATAAGAAAAAGCCTTGAGCCAGTCAAATTTAGTCAAGGACAACAATTTTTTTTCTTGAAGATCAAGCAAGAAAAATGGTGATGAGTTTAATGCAGTATAATAGTTAAAAGATGCATGATATTAAAAATGCCTCAATTGAGTTTGTAAAATATGTGGAAATTTTTAGTCAAAGCGACAAACCCTCAATTTTCTGCGGGTACAAGAGCAACACTGGTTACCTCTACCCCCTAGAGAGGGGTTTCCTCTATGTGCCCAGACCCCCCATTCACCTGAGATTTGACGAGATTGCTCATGTCAACTTCGCTAGAGGAACTGGAACTCTGAGGTCTTTCGACTTTGAGGTCACGAGTAAACAGGAACAGGTTAGTGGGCAAAAAGTTGATTGTTAGAATTTGGTTCGGACCATGTGGACGATCTTCAAACAACCCCCTCTCGACTCCCCTTCCCCTTCAAAGTGATGTAGGGGTTAAAGTAAATATAGATTTTTCAGAAATTATTTAGTTTACTGAGTTTTCTCTGATGAAAACTCATGTAATAATTTAGGTGATAAACAGTTTGCAAATGCGTTCCCATTTAGCAAATTTGGCGAGCGTTTTTTTAAATTTATAAAGTAGTCGAGGGCGTATGGGGGACAGATCACTTGGGCAATTTAGCGGGGGAGGGGGGTTCGTTCACATGGGTCTTTTTTTGCATGATAACAATTGAACGATGCTTAAATAGGAAATTATCGAATGCTCATGAAGCTTAGAAAGTGTTTTTGTAGAAACTGATGCATTTTTAAGTGTAAATAACGAACTGATTTTCACGTAAATAGGTCTTGATGATTTGTTTTCTTTTTTTTTCAGGAAAAGTCTTAAAATGCTCTATTAACTACCGAAGTCCATTAATACATATTAATGCATTTATGGATGCTCTTAGGTATATTGTTTTTTTGAGTTCAGTTTAAGGTCATTTGTCAAAAGTTAGGCCAATTGCGCTCTCCAAATACAAAGTGGAAATGACGCGAAACAACGTGAACGACTTTTACTTTCAAAAGATATTAATTTTTAGTTTTCCCAGTGGAATAAAAAGTTTACTCATTGATCCACTTTTCTTAAATTGGTTTATTTCATCAAAAAAGTGTCAACCATAAAGTGTTCTTGAAATTTACAGAGCTTTAGCTTGATATATTTTTTTCTTCGAAATTTGAAAAATTTTCAATCCCTTGTATTTTTTTTTGCGATTTCCTTGTTCTTTTCACTTGCGAAGCGAGTTTATAGTACGAACCTTCTTTTTTTCCAACCTAAGTCGCAAATATTGGTGCCACTTTTGAGGGACTGCTACAGTTTTTTTGATAGCATGTGCATTGAAATTCGAATAGTAACAGGTTAACTGATGCATTTTTAATTCATCAAATGAACCGAAAAAAGTGATGTTTCAAACAACATAACAATAATGAAAAGTCGATTTCCGAAGTTTTGTAACTCAATATATCTCGCAATTTTTTGAATTGCATAAATTATACATAATATGCTTTTCTGCTTTGCAATTAGTTGCATTCAAAGTTAGTGTGGATGCCTTCAGTTTGTTATATAAGTTATTACATGCAAAATTGAGTCTTGTATTTGGTACCACTTTTGCTGAATGGCATTGGCTAGTTATAAGCATATGTAACTGCTTTATTCATCACTAGTGTTTGTCGATTGTTAAGCTTGCGTGGCTGAGTGGATAGTCCGTGAGACTCAGAATCTCTATTTTGCAGTAGGTCGCAGGTTCGAATCCTACACGTAGTCGAATTTTTTCTAATTCGAGGCTTATTTCTACTTTTTTTTTCACTTGATAGAGCTGCTTTTGGTCGTGTTCTTGTAAGTGTTTGCGAAGCGCAGCTTCGCCTCTGTGTCTATAGTTTCCGACCTTGTGTTGACTATGTTATCTTTTCTCGAAAGAAGATCATAAACGACGCTCGAGTTTTTTTTTAACCTTTATCACACATCCCTAAATTGCTCAAGCTTTTTACGAAATTACATCCCAACCTACGTGTATAGGTGCAATTGCATCTTCGTACTCGAACATCTGCTATCTACGAGATTGCTAAACTTAGAAATTGGTTTTCTTTGTCCATGATTTTTGTCGTATTTTTAATGGTTTAGTTTCCACTGATTTTTTAACGCTGGTTGATATGCATACCGTTTTTTTTTAGCTTTCTGATTTTTTTTCATTTTGGCTTTGTCTCCTATCGAGTTTGGCTCCAAACAACGTAAGTTTTCCTGGTTGGTTTTGAAAAGGCCTGTTACAGGTGTGTTCGCCTCTCCACCACTCTTTAAAGCGACTGTTTGTTATTTTTGCAAACATATTGTAAGGATATCTCCGCGAGTAGTGCTTTTCAGCCTTCTTGTTTACACTAGCGATCAGTGTAATGTATTACTACGAACTTTCTTTTATTTTTAACCTAACTCGGAAATAAAAATTTTCATTGAAAGTGTTCACTTATATGGAATTTTTACTGTAGCTTTGGAAATCGCACAGCATCTGTTCTCTGCTTTATTTGTGGCTAGTGTTTTTCATCACTGAAGCTTCCGTGGCTCAGTGGTTAGTGCGTGCGATTTACAATCTCTAGGTCGCTGTAGGCCGTAGATTCGAAGCCGAGACGTATTCGATTTCATACTAATTCGAGGCTTATTTCTACTTTTTCTTTTTGAACTTTATAGAGCTACTTTTTGTCGTGTACTCGCTAGTGTTTGCGAAGCGCATTTTTGCCTCTGTGTTCCAATTTGGCATTTATTGTTTTCTAATTTGGCATGAAACTGCTTTTCTGATTGTCTTTTGGTGGAGCATAATTTTCGCTCTACAAATTAAATGTGATACATTTAGTGTAGTTTTGAATAAGATTATAATTTTCAGAGTTCTCAGCGCAAGCTCGTCGTTGAAAATTTTGAGAGTTTCCAGGAGCTATTAGTTTCTTTCAAGTATATTGATTGCATTTTAAAATTAATTCGATTTGTTTAAGATTTTCTTTTTTGGTTGGACTTTAAAGCTCACGGTTGAATTTGAATTTAAGTGGAGATCAAATGATGCTCTCAAATGAGGATTTGAATAGCGGTTTAACTTTTTGCTTTAAATTTAATTTCCATCACTAGCGTTGTGTTAGATTGGTCACTATTTTCCAAAAAAAAACGTTCGCATACTAAAGTGCCAAGCTTATGGCTTAATTAAACAGCAGGATTTCGTGCATTAGTTTTTTCGCGGGTTGAGTTATGATTTCTTCTTAAGTTAAAACTCCACCGCGGAACAGCAAAAGTAAAATGTAAAGGCCACGAAAATCTTGATCAACTTCTCATTTTGAATGGATTTAAGTTTTCCGATTCCCAGTTGACTAAACAATCTACATATTGTTCCAGAAATTCAAAGAGCTCCAAGGCCATATATTTGTTTTAAATTTACCAACTGGTTTTTAATATTTTTTATATTTAATAATTTTATGTTCGGCTTTCGCTATATCGGCTTAGTCAGTTTCAGGTTCAGGGAACAGTGAAAATTTTACTTCAAAACGTTTCATAGCTTGAAAAACGACTAAAATTTGAATAATTGTTTCTTTCTTAGATACTGATTCAATTTCATTAACTGTTTTTGCTTGTTGGCTATGTTAAAGATTTCTTTAAAAGAAATTTTTAAGAGTAATGAACGTAGTGAGCCTAGTGATTTTTTGTTTTTTGTTACAGCTGTGCATTCATACATATTGATGCGTTTATGAATGCACTTAGGTATATATGCATTTTGAGTTCAATTGAATCTCATCTGCTGAAAGTGACGTAAATAGCACTCTCCAAAATCGAACGTGGAAATCGTAGCGCGAAAAAACGTGAACGATTTCTAGTTTCGAAAGTGGAATTTAATTTTTGATTTCCAGCAGAATATTAACTTTACTTATTGATCCAGTTTTCTCAAATTGGGTTAATGTTATCAAAAAGCGCCAATCATATATTGTTCTAGAAATTCAAAGAGCTTAAAGGGCATCTATTTTTTATTTTGAAATTCAAAATTTGAGATTTTTTCAACAAAGTCAGTGTTTTTTCTATGTTTACTTGCGCTTATTACTCTTTTCCTATCTTCGATTGGCTATGTTTGAAATAATGCAAGGGCGGATCTAGGATTTTCTCTTGGTGATTTAAAAAAAATCGAAATGTTTGTCGACCTTTTCTTTAGGTCGACCAAATAATCTTTTCTATCGATCTCGTACCCTATTTGACAAACTTTTCTGCGCCACAGGCAATATATTGAAAAAACAGGCCAAAATGCCAATTTTGGGTATTTTTTGGGAAATTTTATGATAAAAATATAGCGTTTTTTTTTTTAATATCGCGGACCCCTTCAAAATTAGTATATATTGGCAAATACCACAGGGGGGTCTTTTTGCTTGGTGATGGGGTCAAATCCTTGAAAAAAGCGTGGTTGGAAATTTGGCGATATTTTTATTATGAAAGCTACGAATCAGTATCAGACGTTTCGATGCAAGAAGCGCATGTTTTAGATAATGGGGATTTTGTTGTTTAACAGAGCTACACATTCTCTCAGATAGAGAGAGGCGAGTACAACAAACTGTTCGATTTTGTGAAGCAGAAGAACATTCCGATCAAGAATATCGGAGACGAGGCCCAGAGCGAGACTGACTCGGACTTGAAAGATTCGGACGAGTCGGAAACGGAAGCTAGCAAGTTAGTTCAATTTGCAACTGCTTTTTTTATAACCACTATCTCAATTACTTCAATTTGAGTGTTTTTTTTTATTTAAACAAATAGTAAGGTTACATTAATTATATTACATTTTTTCGAATGTATTCAAATGTTTTTTTTTTATAAATAACGGATAAAGTCGGAATAGAGTTAAATTAATAACAATTTGGTAATGCAACATTTTGTTTCTTGTACTGGCGAAATAAATTTCAATTGTTGGAATTGCATTCTGTATGTTCCTACAGTTTCAGATCGTGGGCAAAATCCAGGTCTGTTAGTTTATTTTCAATTGCATGGCTCGTGAGGGTGACTCATACCAGAAGGATCGAATGCCAGCAACAAATTTTTAGCCAATCGGATTTCAGCTTTCAAAATTTCGAAAGAAATGCGCCGGAAAATTAGCCAATTTCGATTTGTTCAAAGAACTATGATTGGCTGAGAATTTTTGCGCCTTCGTTTCTTTTTTCATGGGAATAGTCGCCGCATTGAATGTTGTACGTGCAAGTGATGGAAAATGCACATGTGTTCACTCCTCACGTGATTAGGTGTCAATGAAAGCAAAGAATACATTTAAGGTCGTGTGATTTTTTTTCACGTGTCTCAAAATTTGATCACTCAAATGTAATTTTTCGCAGTTTCACTTTTGATTTCTGAGTTCAGTTCAAATTTGTTTGCAATTTTGAAAACAAATTATTCTCTCCAATTATGGCGCGAAAAAATGGTGATTTCATTATGGAAATTGCCCGCAGAAATGTGAATGATTATAGATCTCAGTGGAGTAAGATTAAAACGTATTGACCCAGTTTTCTCCAATTGGGTTAATTTAGTAGAGAATTTGCTAATCATAAAAGATTCTCGAAGTTCAGAGAGCTCTATCGTTATGTATTTTTTCTCCGAAATTCGAAGGCGGAAAATGTCTCGAAAAAAGTCAATCTTCTTTTCGGTTTCCTTGTTCATTGACACTTTTCTAACTTTCTGCTGCCTATGTTTTTGAGTTGGCGCGAGAATGATATGACTTGTATTGAAAAAGTTGAACTAACTGATTTTTCGTCTTGTTAGATGGGTAGAATTCCTTTGTTGATAGACCTTTCTCAACTCGGAAACCCCCCCCCCCACCACCACCTTACATCAGCATCAATTTAATGCTAAACGAGCGGTTTTAAAAGGTTAAGTATGAAGACCAAGGTTGTAAGGGGGTTGCAGATTTTGCCGCTTTTAGAATATATATGAATATTTGTGCTACAAATTCACATTTACCTCAAATTTACTCTTTTGCGGTTTGTCTTTTGATTTCTTTTTAAGTTCATTTCCTTTGTTAAACGGAAGGCAAACTCTACCTTTTAACAGCAAAAGTGTGAATCACGAAAAATGAGACCGAGTTCTAGTTTCGAAAGTGGAATTTAATTTTCAGATTTCCCAGCGAAATAAAAGTTATACCTATTGATCCAGTTTTCTCAAATTGAGCTTAATTAATTATTGTCAGTCATAATTTTGGGTTGCAAATCAAAGAGATTTTAAGGGCATATATTCGTTAGAGTTTAAAAGTTGACGTTTTCTTTATAAAACAAGTCACTATCATTCTATTTTTGTGTGTTCATTGACTCTTTTCACACTGTCTGTTGGCTATGTTTTATTTTCTTTTTTTTTCCACTTAAAATCACGTAGGTACCACAAATAATTTTTGGAATAGGTCGAGTTACATATCATAGTAAAGCCTTCTGAGTCGTGATTACACTAGCCAGCTGATAGTGAGTTTGTACGGACCTTGTTTTTTTCGGATTTTCTTCATTTTTTTAGTTCAGTTCATTTCCTGTTAAAAGGAAGCCATATTCCACTATCGAACAGCGAAAGTGTTAAAGTCACGACAAACACGATTGACTTCGAGTTTCGAAAGTTGAATTTAATTTTCAGATATCCCAGCGAAATGAAAATTTACTTTTTAATCCAATTTTCTCAAATTGGGCTTATTTTATCAAAAAAGTGCTGGTCTTTCTAGAAATTCAAGGAGCTTAAAGGGCATTTTATTTTTTTCGTATAAACAGATTTTTCAAAAAAAAATTCTGTTTGTTGCGTTCATTGACTCTTTTCCAACTGTGTGTTGGCCATATTTTTTTTTCAGGCCCAATTTGATCGTTTGCGGTTGAATTTTTTCTAATTCATTTGCAAAGTGTCAAGTATCAATTGTTCTTGAAGTTCAATCATCTTTAAGGCAATTTATTGCAATCCGAAAGCTGAAATTTTTCAAAGAACAAGCCAGTCATTTTTTTTCGATGTCTTGGTGTTCATTGTTTCTCTTTCAACTGTAGGATGGATATGTTCGTTTACGCCACACAGTGTTCTGTTTTTTGAGTGTGAATGTTCAAAATCAGAAGCAAAACTACAGTCGCTTAATTGTATCTAAATTTTGACGCGGCTCTCACTATTTCGCGAAAATAACCTGTCCAGTTCGTCAACTGCTTACGCATGGCCATCGAATCGTCTAACATTAAGCAACTAACCGATTTTTCTTCGTTCCATTTGCAGGGTGATTTCTGTTTTGGACTTCTTCTATTGGATCTCATTGACTTAACATCATAAAATGAGTAGCGTAAACAACTGTTTCTGTTCATAGGAATATTTTTGACAAGTTGGCTGTTTTGATTTGATTCATTTTTGAGTTTGAATGATTTATAAAGTCTGAGTCAGTGTAATGTGATTGCTGTTTGACAACTGCTGATTTGATCATTAAATTCTGATTCTGAGGCTAATTCCAATACCGAGCCTGAAGTCTCCCTAAAACTTGGAGCGTAGTTTTGACAATTGGGTTTACAAATCTCAATCATGCTGTTTTTATGCAAAAATTGAGATATAGTGAACGGCTTAGTTTCCTCACATGATAGCAAACCGCGCCGTGAAATTAGTTGTAAATTATTTTGAAAGGCAGGCTTTTTCCATGAAAGATGAAGTTTTCAAGTTTAATGTATCTTTGAACAAAATGAGCCTTGTCTCTGAAGACTTTTTAGAACGCTTATTAATTGAGAGACAGTCTTGCAAACCAGAAAGAATGATAAAAATTGAGTTTTTGATAGATGTATGCGCAAGTCTTCTTCTTGAGTTTCGAAATAACGCAGTTATCGAGATCCTCCCACGATCTTCTCCCCCCTCCCCCACTACGACGAGTCATCGCTTACTCCCCTCCTTAAATCTAACCCTTCACGCACCGCTTGACTTGGGGGGGGGGGTTGATATTTACTTTGAATAAAGTGTGATTGGTAGGAGCCGTGGAAGTGGCAGCAGAAAGCGAGAGTTTGACCCCTACCTGGAGAAGGTCAAGAAAGAGGGCAGAGAGCGGGAGGTCAAAGGTGACGGGGGTTCAAGTGAGGAGGACTCTGACTTCGCCCCGGGAGAGGAGGACGATGTTGCCGAGGAGTATGACAGTCATGCGGAGTATGTGACCTCATCGGAGGAGGGCGAGCCAGGGGCGGGGGGAGAGGGAGGGGCGGCGTCTTCTTCAGGGGACAAGGAGAAGAAGAAAAAGAAAGAGCGCAGGATAGCCTCTACTATTGTAAGTATAAAGTATGCGACAGAGTGTGTGGTAATCAGTGATCAATGTTAATTGTTTTTTTTTTAGTTTAAACTTGAAGTGTTAGTGGCTCCTAAATTTAAAAATGTTCAAATATTAATAGTGAAATGAAATATTCATTGCACAGTTTGAGTTGGGAAGCTTGAATTTATCTCAGAATCACCGTAAAATGCTGCTGATAATCGAATTTAGGCTCTAGATGCTGAAATAATGAAATGGATAGCTGTAACATGTTCATAAGCAAAAAATTTGGGTTTCATGTCACAAAACGAAAAAAGCAACAAATAATGTGTTATGTATTTTCCAAAGATAGGTGTGTTTATCTATTAGAATGAGCCGGGCTTCGAGAAGAAAGACAAGAAGAGGAGTTCCGGAGGAGGGGAGTCCTCGGGAGGAAGTAGGAAGAAGAAGAAAGACAGGGATCCGAACATGCCCAAGAGACCTATGAGTGGCTTCATGCTGTTTGTGAACGAGGAGCGGGAGAGCATCAAGGCCAAGAATCCCGACATCAAAGTGACGGAGGTTGGCAAGATTGCGGGACAGATGTGGAAGGATATGGACGCTGACAAAAAACAGGTGGGCTGAGATATCTTGAGCTAAGACAATTTTTTATAATCAATTTTTTTTGTAACAATGCGACGTTTTTTTTTTTTTGCGATTATGCCAGCTGAAAATTTTTTGAACATCAGATTAAAATTATCAAAAGTCGTCTCAAAATTTAGAAAATCATTTCAAATTTTTTGACATTGTCACATTGATTTGATCGGAAGTAGAAAATTACAAAAATTACAGACTTTTCCAGTTTACCGCTTTGTGATATTTTTCCATTGGATTATAATATGTTTTTTTTTTGTGTGTGTGTAGGGGTACATGGACAAGGGGGCGAAACTGAAAGAGGAATACAACAAACTGGTAGCCAGCATGCCCAAGCAGAAGTGAGTGGGTCGAGTACAACCACATTTATAATCTCTGTTCTTTTGTGTGATCATTGAACTCTCGTTATGTTCAAGAGTCCAATGAACTTCGTTCAGGCTCAAAATTACATTTTTTAGCGGTTCGACTAGTAATTTCTTTTTAAGATCAGTGCAATTCTGTTGTTAGAAGGAAGGCAATCTCCTTTATCGAACAGCAAAAGTGTAAAGGCCACGAAAAACGTGATAGGCTTCTAATTTCTAAAATTGAATTTACTTATCAAATTTCTCAGCGACATACGATATTTTTTTATTGATACCTTTTTCCAAATTAAGTTAATTTAATCAAGAAAGTGCCAATCATTAATTGATTTAAAAATTCAAAAAACAAGTCAACATTTTTTTCTGTTTCTTTTCGTTCATTGACTTTTTTCCAACCGTCTGTTGGCTATGTTAAATTAAATCTAGAGATGTGAAAACAACTCTATCAGAGGCTTGTTTCGACACTTTTATTGCTTTCATTTCTTGCATTCCCGAGAGAAATCTGTTTGCTACCTTAAGTATGAGGTGAAAAAGTAAAATAGGATTAAGTTCATTGATTGGATAAAGCGGGCATGAAACCCAGTCTAATTTTTGTTTCATTAAAAAGAGCTGCCGCCATGTTTCTAGGAAAGTAAAATCGAGCAGTGGAGCAAAGTCAACTAGTGGTAGTAAGTCTGCTTCCTCAACAGTCGGTAGTGGCGCGGGAGGTGCAAATGTGAAGAGCAAGGAGTTCATCAGTGACAGCGATGACTCATCAAACCAAGGGGAGAGGGAAGAGGGAGGGGAGAAAAAGAAGAAAGAGAAAAAGAAGGCAGAAGGTGGTGGTGGTGATAAAGCTAAGGTAAGTTATCCAAAAGCTATTGAATCCAGAGCAACATGAGCATTGTAGATCAGAAGTTTAGCGTGTTTTTCAAATGACTTTGAACCAAAAGGAGACACTTATCGAGGTTGTGATGAATTTTAGTTTTGAAACTGGGACTAAATTTTCAGAAATCCCAGAGTGAAAAACACCATTGTGTACTTTTCTCGAAATAGGTTAGTTTACTATAAAAAAAAGTGTGAATCATAAACAATTTTTGAAATTAAAAGAGCTTGAAGGTGAAAAACTCTGAATCATTTTTTTTATTTCATTCAGTTCATAGACCCTTTTCGATTTTTCTGTTGGCAACGTTTGCGTGTGTGTAGAAAAACGATGACGTCATAGAAGAAGAGGAGGAGGAGGAGGAGGAAGAGGAAGAGGAGTCGGAGGGAGACTCAGAAGATGATGAAGATGAAGACGCCACTGAATCGGGAAGCAAGACCAAAAGCACAAGGTTAGCTACTTATGTACAGAATGATTTGAGAGCAATGTACCTCAGCAAATTTGAAGCGCTTTCGTCACTTTGACACTATCGGCATTAAATCGGCTGAGGTAAATAATTTATTTATTTTTATTACCGTTTTCTATAATTAACAGGTCCACGAGAGGCAAAGGGGGAGACGAACCGTTAGCCGAGGGGCTCCCAGAGGACGGGCCGGAAGAAGAAGAGATGAGCGAATAAGTCTCGTCAGGCATGAAAACTTTCTTTGTTCGTGTCTCAATCTGCATAAAGCTTCAAACGTTCTCTTCAATTTTTTAAGAGTAATGAACGTAGTGAGTACTCTTATATGGGTCTTTTTTGTTTAGGAAAAAGTCTTAAAATTTGTTCACGCTCAATTTTGATTTTTCGCGGTTTTACTTCGAAAATGGAAATTATTTATCAGATTTCGCAGCGAAATAAAAATTTTGCCTATTGATACAGTTTTCTCAAATTGGGTTATTTTTTTTAGCAAAAAAGGGTCTATCATAGATTGTTCCACAAATTCAAAGAGCTTTAAGGCCATCTGATTTTTTCTTCGAAAAAAAATATGGAAATCGTTTTTTTTTCAGTTTCTTTGCGTTCATTGCTCTTTTCCAACTGTTAGTTGGCTATGTTTATTAGTCTGGTAATTGATTGTTGGTCTTACCAGTTTACTAGGACGAAATTGAAGTTGATCACAATAGTTAAAAAACTTATTTTTGGTTAATTTGATGTAAGTTAATTTAAATTGCTGTTGTTGATTTTGATGGTCGTTAGCGAAGCTTAAGTTGCTTGCTGTTTCTTTTTGATTGATGATTTGTAAACTTGAGATTGACTCTCACTAGAATTATGGAATTGAATTTTATTTCTCGTTTTCATTTTGATTAACAATTGAAAGAGAGCTTAAAGCGTTAGTCATGCGTGATGATGAGTTTTTGGAGTCCAGGATTTGGGTGTTGGGTCCCTTCACTGATAAAAGTTATAAATAAGTGACATAATTTTTCGAAAAAAGCAGACTTAGCTGTTAAGATTAAGGCGCTATTAAGAGAAATCAAGAAAATTATCTTCGAAATCAACCTAATCAAAAAAACTCTTCTCCTAAATAGGCGTCTATACCATTTGCAAAAATCATGTGACGATTTTTGTTCTCAATCTTAAGCACAACTGAATTTGACCCCACTAGAAAAATGAAAAAAAGCTATCCTATTCTATAAAAGCTTAATTTCCTGCAAGCTGGAACTGATTTCCGTTTTTGGTACTCCCCTGTCAATCCATTTCAGCTCTGGGACATTCTTCTTACGCCTTTTGGCCGCAAGTGCATTGGCACAAAACGAAGAATACGCGAGGACCGAAATTTGATCACCTTTGCCAGGGTATTCTCGAATTTAGGCGATGTGACAATAGTGGCATTTTTTGCCAAGTGATTTGCTACATCTGGGTAATAATGCGTGTTAATTAAAATCCAGTTGAGAGCCAGGAGAAAGTGAAATGAAGAGACGTAGGCGTAAATCAAGTCAGGGTTTCGTGTGTGTGATAATTTGCGTCTCGGTCTATGTAAACAAAATATGTAAATAAAGCATTATAAGGTACGTTCTGCCCTTCCTTAAAGGATAAAGTAAAAGACTCTTGTTTCCTTAAAGGCAACCTAAATTAAGGCCTTAAGAAAAGCTACCTCACCTTATTCCACTTCCCTGGGTGAAAGCGCCTCTAGTTCTTGTTCGATTGTCAGTCTAGAATCTAAAACTTATACATAAAAACGTAGAGATTTTTAAAAAGTCTATTCAATCAAATTGGTTTAAATTAGTGCAAATACTATAATTATCTTTGAAGTTGATAATAGTTGTTTAATTCTCAAGTTGTTACGTTTGATATGGTGGTTTCTGGTATTTGTTTTTGGTGAAAATTGTGTCATTCTCCCAAAGTATTGCTTATAGCTGACCTTGCCACCATGTATAGACCTTCTCATGGTATTTCTGGGCCTGACCAGCTAATATGCTCGTGTTCTGTTCTAGCTAACGGCAGTGTAAAAACACCTATATACTGGATTATACTGCAGTTGGCGTCTGCCTTAGATTTTTGCAAGAAGAAAATCTGACCAAGAAACCCAATGATTTTTTCCAAATTTTCCGTAATTTGATGACTTTGGCCCGACAAAGATGGTTTTTCAAGTGGACTAAGATAAGGACTTTGTTTAATAATCATGGTTATAATCTACAGAATGGTTACTTTTAGAGTTGTGCGATTGTTTTTGCATTGCTGATTCCTCGGGGTGACCCGAAATACTAATCAAACAATTTCCATATACGGAAAAATGATAGTTAAACACTTTTCATGCAGTTCTATAAGTACAGAAAATTGCAGAAATGCCCTATGCCAATTGATGAACATGAGCTGTTTTTGCTGTGATTAAAACCCGGGTGGGCAGTTAAAAACCTATTCAATGTACATTTTTGACATTTCGTTGTTGAAAAGAATACCGACAGAATAGAAGATTCAAGGTTGGAAGCTCGATACTAGAGTTTCATAAACTTTCTTAAATCCAAACCTTCTCGTGATGCAGATTGGCTGTCAACATTGGTCGAGCGTCAGCCTACTTTGTGAAGTATGCTGAGCTCATTCGTTTTGCTGTTTCAAGTTTTTTCGAATATTACGATACTGTATTACGGACCTGTGACGAAAGCAACTGTGAAAAAAAAACTGCAACATTAGCGCCAAAAAATTATAGACGGTTCGTTCTTACATAAGAGACGACGGTGTTTAAGAATAAAATCAATTGCTTATTTCAAATCTAGCCTTCATTTTTTCAATTTTTTTTTTGAATAGCTACAATTGTATTCATAAAGAAAGCACTTAAAAGGACAGCAGATTCTGAAAGACACACAGAGATTAAGAAAGCTGTGGTTCTTTTAGACTAGTCATTGACAAATATTAATCTGTCGTTGGGATCAGATTGTCACTGTTTTTGAAAACAAATCAAGATCGAACCCTGGCACATACCAAAATCGCTCCTACATGATTCAACCGAGTTTCTACAGTTATGGGATATAGAGGTTGTAACTTTTGCGGTTCAACCGATCAATTGAACGAACTTTTTTAAACATTTCTAAAGTTTTCTCTAACCATATCAGATTAATGACTGAAATTTTGACAGAACCAATGAGAGTATTTAAAATAATTTTCTGAGCCAAAAACAGACAGTGCTTTTTTCAAGGGATTACTTGGTCGCTTACACGATTGTAGGGGATGAGGTGATTTAAGTTTCAGAGAACCCTTGGAAACAGCACAAGGAAAGTGAGTTTTTGAACTTGAGACTGTTCGTTCGAAATCTAGGCATCCAAGTTAGATCCTCACATCAGTTTTTGTTATCTTAAAACACAACTCAAGATTTTATAAGCTTTTACACAAATCTTGACTGGAAAATTGTCAATTTTTTTTAGAAGAACATTAAATTTTGCGCTTAAACTTTTTTTGTAGCTCAAACAGTCTTAAACCATTTTTTCTGGATTACGTATTTCAAAAATCTAAAAACTAATCGAGTAAAATTCACTAATTCACGCGCTTGCAAAACCCATATGATTTTTAAATTGGGTTAAATAAGCAAAATACGTTTAAAGCGGACGAAAAAGCTTTTCCTGAACGAGTTAATGCAATAGAAGCAACTCTCCAAAAAATAAAACAAGACTGCTCGTATCAATGTTTATGGAGCAGTAATAACATTTAAAAAATTTAATGAAATGAAACAAAACGAAAAATTTTTTTTCTAAAATTTGAATTTTTTTTTAATGAAAATCATCACCCCACACGCAATATTAAGTACAAAAGGATAGATTTCGCTCCTTGTAACAAATCAATTATGGCAATTAAGCTTCTTTCAACCAACTTGGAACGATTTCTAAGACGGATTAACCCTTCGCTAAATATATCGCGCGTAATTGTCCCAAATTGGCCAAAATGGCAATCTTTAAACCCCCGCAACTTTACGAAAAATGATCACAGGTGAAATATCCTTCCTAATTTAAGCTCAGGACAACAATACCTTTTGAATGATATAAAAAAATTCCGTCACAAATGGCTAGTTAAAAAGTCGAAATTTGTCTGAAGAAAAAAAACCCACCCCGTGCACAAATATTCCGCTACTTTCGTATCGAAAGTCGGAACAATAACCATTTTATTCAGTTTATTTTCTCTTACAATAATCAAAGATAGCTGGGTGCAAGGAAATTATTACAGATATATTCGAACACGCAATAAAATTTCAACATAGTGATTTTTTCGGTTTTAAGTTTTTTCGGCTTTTTAGCTTTGAGAATAGATAGCAATAGCAAAAAAAGTTCAAATTAGTTGACTTTGAATTTTTAGTCAGAAAGTTCTCGTTTGATAAACACTCTGAAAAATGAAATAACCTAAACTAGTTTATCTCAACGCTGTGTTATTTTCTTGCCATTTTTAAGACTGAAATGAAGGCTAAAAGAGCTTCAATATGATACCACGCTTAGCTCTTTCTAAGTTTTTGCGTAGTCAAAATCGACTAAAAACTATACCCTGCGTCATATTTAATTCCAACTTCGTTAATTGGTCAAAACAGTATGGAAGGAACTGAAATAAGAAAGGAATAAGAAACGAAAATTTTTTTTCGAAAGGTTAAGTATGAGTCAGTCAATGTGTTTTTGCTTTACTTGTTTCGACTAAATTTTTAAAAAATTGCTAAACTCGGTTATTGTTTGCTACGCTTGTGATTTAACAAACTGGAATATAGACTTTTTTCGAGTTAAAAACTTGCCTAACAAAATCTTTTGAATCAATAGAGATTGTGGTTCATAAAGAAATCAAATTTCTATGCGTCTCAGGCACACTTTTTTTGCACGCCGAAAGAAAAACAAGTGTCGGCTTAGTTTTGTCTGCTTATGCTTTGTCGGTTTAGTTGCCATATTGTAGGTTTTTTAATTTTTTTACATAGTTGCTCTTAGTGTCCTGTTTATCCTCAGGTGTTTGTAATTACTAAAATTGACTTCGTATATATATTTTTTTTGTTAGGAAAATGTATTCTGCCCAAATGTTTTCGGTCTACTTTTATCGGCTTAGTGACTCATTTCGACTCGTTTCGATGGAATTTTTTTTAATGCTCACCTCTGGATTGCTCAAAATTTTCAATAGAATATAAATATAGTTCAAGTTTTTCAAAATAACAATTTTTTTCAGACTTTTCTGTTTTTTTTTCCTTTCCATTTGGCTTGATAGGTTTTGGCATATATTACATCGGCTTATTGTCATCATATTGCGTCTTTAAACCAGCGGAAAAAATTATATGTGCCTTGTGTGTTTAAGGATGGGGGGGATTTTTTTAATCTTAATTTTTAGCGACTTT